CATTCCTGAAACTCATACTTCTTTTTGACATTTCTAATATTGTTGGTTTATAACACACAGATTAAAGAACACTCCTAGCTGAAAAGAGAGTTTACTTTTTGCTTGGTAACATAAGGGATCAGCTGACCTCCAATTTACAGCACTGTAGAACACACACCATCAGCTTTGTCATCTACTATTTCTTCATACTTACCCAGTCAACCTTACTCTCCAAACATACTTCAGTGCTCCTAGGTAATTCAGTCTGAAAGGGTACCACAGTGGCTGATGCTGATGAAGATAAAACATTCAGAAAAAAATATTTTAAATGGACTCCACATTGTTTATTTTGTGATACATGCCACAGGAAGAGTACTGAAATCCAACTGCAAAGAGCTTATATGGGCACTTACTCACAATTTAATAGCTCTAAATCACCATAGTACAGTAAAAATTTATGTTACTTTGCTTCAGTCCACATCATCACTGGTGTCACTATTTCCATGGCCATAAAAAGTTTCTAACTTAACAAAAGTAATATCTTTAATACTGCAACATCTGGAAGGCACATAGAAACTTAAAAACAAAATATACAAACCTGACATAAATACTACGTTTTTTTTCCTTAGACTTTTTGTTTTAAACTTGTATGAAGGCTAGATAAGTACAGTATGGTGCAGCATATTGTACTTGCAATACAACCTAAAAAATCATATATTTTAAAAATCGTGTTTGTATTTTCAACAGTAGGAGTCCATTAACCCAAAAAATCCAGATTTAATACAGAAGCCTGATTCAGCTTTCTGAAGCCAGGATTTCAGATGCCAAGCTGGAACACCACCACCAAAAAGAATTCTATATAAACCTAATGCAGTTTAAATTCAGATTTTTATCATAGAGATAATGAAGTATGATCAACACATAGAAAGATATCTATACATCACTGTAGTTTGAACAAATGCATTAAAAAAACATATCCAAGTCACCTTAAATGTCTTTATTTCCTTAAAAGCAACTAAAGCTTTGTCAAAGCAAACTGTACATTAATCGTGCTACTCACCTTGTTTAGAAGACAGATGATGCACAGGTCGTGCTGGCTGAAGGGATTTACCAATAAACTTTTTAGTTTCCTTTAACATTTTGAAGCATCACACTTTAAGAAAAGCAGCAGAAATCAATAGAGAGCATTCAGTTTCACACACAGATGTTAAATGAGGAGAGTAGTCTGCCTATGACTCGTTAGTTGCATCTGACAATAAGATACACTATTTTTTTAGCAGCTGGGCAGGAGAAAGAATAATGGCCTAACAGACTTTTTAGCAGATGAAATAATATACCAGATAAAATTTGCATACAGACAGAATCAGACATCTCTCTCATTTCTCCTTCCAATTGAGCTACTGTTTAGCTGCTACAGATACACCAAAAATACGGTGCTAAGCTGAAACTTGTTAAGATGTAAGCAAACTGTCAGTCATAATATCATAATTCATAACATCAGCATCTAAATTCTTCTTTTTCCCATCCTCATCTCCCTTGCCAACTGGAAGATTTCATTATTTGAAGGAACTTCTGTATTTTCTCTAAGAGATTTTACTAGACAAAGGAATAATTGTTGTAACAAAACAATTCAAAGGAAACTATCATTACTTCAAGTGTTAAAACTACAGTGTTTATTATCCAATTCCAGTACGGAACAGGAAAAGATAACTTAGGCTATATTAAACTATGATCCAGTATCACTCCCCAGTTTAGTTGGCCATTGCATTATAGAAAAAAAAATAAATCTGATTATTTACTACATTACCATCTTTTGAACTTCAACACTGAAACTTAACTTTATTAGAGTAACAATTTCCCAGCACAGCCAATTGTTAAATAGTTACTTACTGAATTAAAAGAGTTTAGTTAAAGTTAGGAAGAAAGTTTTGGTTTGATTCCCTGGCTTTCCTACCTTCTCAACTTAAAAAAGAAAGATTTGAAAGATGTAGCCAAAAACAACAATGAAAATTCCTGCAAGTGAATGAACCGAGACTACCAACATGGGTATTTAATTTTATCCAGATTAGGAATGCTTTTTTAAACCAAAATTATACTAGATACTACATTTTGGCATAAAGCAATGCAGAAAGAGATCTGCATCAGAAGATTAAAACCAGCAACGTTTCCCCTATACCCTGATCACAAATGATATGCAGACTTTCTTTAAAAACAGGAAGAACTGCTTAAGAGGTTGGCTAGCTCCTAGAATGTAGCATGCCTGTATTATTTAAAGTATTTTCCTGTCAATGAAAGCAAGATGACCTGCAGTGATGGCAAAACAACCCATTTTCCCCCCCCTCTATCCTCCAAGATTCCATGAGGAAGATGCCTAAGAAACCCCATACTCCTAAAGAAAGAAAAACAGAAGAGAGTATGAGAGAAAGAGGGGAGCTTGGCCAAGACTGAAATCAAGTACAGCATTTATCAGTTTGATTTCCTCCTTTAAGTTGAAAGTAGAGACAAGATAAAAGATCTCCAGAAAGTTATCCAGCCCAGTCTTCTGGATTAGTCAGTGTTCTAGCTGACTAGCAACAGGAAAAGTAGAACAGCTGAGGAACAAAATCTGTCCAGCACAGATTACTGCTGCAGGGGCACCTCCTGCACCCCAAGGCCTCTGCCCTCCCTCACAAACACGCATTGCTTCTCAGGAGTTACTCCGACTGGTGATCCACCCAGCCGAGAGGAGGCCTCTGCAGTAGCAATCAGGCCCAGCAGGATTTCCACATCATCTTTCTTTTTCAGCATCTTATCAAGTCTGAGGTTCACAAGAGACAGCTTATGAGGGCCCATCAGAAAAGTGCTCTGGAAGCCTCTTTCCTGAAGATGTAAAAGAGAATTAACAATATTTTTTTTGTGAACAAAAAAAAAAGCCCTCGTGCAGCAGCCCCATGAGTAACCAGAAACTGATCATGTCCCCTTGCCCAAAGAAGTTCCGCACTGTTCCTGTCAGAGCCCCCGGACCACAACCCACAGGAAAACAAAGCCGCTCTCCTCCAGCCTCACAGGAGCCGCCTCCCCCCTACC